AGCCTTGAGATAAATGCAATTTTTATTCTATCTCCATCGCTGGTGCTTTGGGTTGACAAGACCAGGACTCAGTTTGATGCTAATGTGATACTTGGAACTTAAACACTTTTAGGGTTGGGCCGTGGATCCAGCCCAGCATTTATAACCTTAGAGAAAGAAGAGCATTTGGATCTGGTAGAGCAGAAGGCACAGGTGACAGAGGGTCTCTCTGTGCCAGGTCCATCAGCTTGTGAGGATGCTGTCTCTCCCAGAATCGAACCTGCGGAGCGCAGGGTCTGTCAGCCACTGCCTGTCTCTGTGCTGTCCATGATCACAGGCCCCCTGGGGGTTCCTGACCCACCCAGCCTGGCCCTGACTACCAAGCCAAACACATGCCTACACATGCCCTGGCCCTGACTACCAAGCCAAACACATGCCTACACATGCCCAGGAGGCCCAGCAATGCCCAGAGCAACCAGGGGCCAACAGCATCTGAGCCTGACACGAGCACTGAAGGGAAGCCACCCCACCCACGGCCCTCTGTGCCTCCAGTCTGCTTCGTGTGCGACCTTGCTGTTTGTGTCACCCCTGTAGTGGTCCTGAGGACCCTGAAGCAAGGTCTGATGCCCCCTGACACCCTCCACTCTCAGCTTCTGCCTGGTCCTCACTTTCCGAGCCTGGACCTTTCTTCCAGTTGGTCACGTGTCAGCATGTTGTCTGACTTTTACCCCAGAATCGCACAGCACCCAGAACCATTCATTCACTTAACAGTATCTACTGGGTGCCCAGCCAGTGCCAGACACTCAGCAGTAAACAAGTTGGCACAGCCAGTTCACAGGGGACCGCTGTGTCATGGGACCCAGACAGCGACACATAATTACCAAATAGTTCGTTAGTGTTGCAACCAGAATGACCTCGACTTCTTCGGCCTGTCAGGATCACTCTCTCCTCTTCGACCCTAGAGTTCCAAGCTGAGATTCTCACATGCAAACCCATCGTGGCCGTCCTAAAAGCTCCCCAGCCTCCTCATGCTGGTCTCCTCTATGCTGGCTCCAACCCCTCCAGCCCAGTGTAGCCCTCAGTGCAAAGCATGGACCCCAGCCTTTTCTCCAGTACCCGAAAGACAAAACACACAGCTGCTGTATGTAAGAAACTTTACTGAAAATGTAGAAGTGATTCAGGGAAATTATAATCTAAAAGCAATTATTAGCTTTTGCTATCCCCAGAATCCACCCAACTTCGTGGCACATTCCTGCTGCCGTGTCCCTCCTTGGCCCAGAGCCTTTGGTTGTTGGAGCCAGGGCCTCCCTCTTTGCATAGGAAGCCTGCCCTCTGGGAAGGAAACTCCTTCTCCCAGCCCAGCCTACAGGACAGCCTCTGGCAGGACAAAAACCCACACCAGCCTATCTGCCCTGGGATTAACACACAGCAGCCTGCACTCATTCCTCCTCAAAATACTTACTGAGCACTTACTTTGTACAAGGTGTTGCGCTAGGTAAAAGAAGATACCGAAGCAAACAAAAGAGATGAAACCCTGTCCTTGGAGATAAAGAATAAACACTAAACCTGAACACTACAGATTTCAACACTACAGAATATTTTTTTAAAAACAGGATGACATGATACTGAGGGAGTCTCAAGAAGATGTACACTTCAGAAAGGATGAAAATAAAAATCTCTCTGAGGAGGTGACATGGGGATAAGCTTGAGAGATTCGGGGCTAGGAGGTAGGCTGGGCCCTGAGCCACCGCAGGAAGGAGAGCCATGCCTGCTCCCGATCCAGCCGCCATCGCTCAAGTGCCGGGAAGGTAGCCACGCGGGTGCCCCTGAACCCCCATAAGTCGTCCCCCCACCTCCTGCACTCTCAGATCTCCTGTGTCAGTCTTCGGTCCCACTCTGCAGAGGCGGAGGTGGTCATCAGGGGTATTTTTCTGAGTTCCCAACTTCGAACATCTTTAAAGAAAGGGCGGGGGAAACTTGTAATAGAACGTTGTGGAGTTCAACCATTCAGAAGGTTGGGGAACTCAATCTGGGCCTTGGAGCCTGAGGTCAGTCAGCGTCGTGGGGTTCAGCCATCAGCCAACTGAGATCAGGGGTCTTGCATCCTCACTCTGAGCCATTAAATGGTAAATACACTATATTGAAATTTTGTTCACTGCAGACATGTTCTGGACTGCTTCTTGATTTCAATTTAATTCAAATGATTTCAGGGTGATAGACTAGTGACTATCATAGGTGGTCAATGTCCAAGTTGTACTTGATCTTAATGTGTTGCTGATTGTATCAGTTGGGATAAAGCATTGCGGATGATTTGATGAGCTGTTTCTCTGATGTTATGAAGATGAGAATGTCTGTGGGTCGTTAAAGACACAGAAGCTAGGGCACAAATATATCAGGAAGATTTGGGTGATAATCCAGAGATTAAACCAAGGACAGTCTGACAACAAAAATAAAAAATGAGAAAACACTTAAGCAAGACACAAGGACAGACTTCCAGTTCATCAATGGCAAACAGTAGGCCAAATGAGGATGAAAAGGCCAATAGTGAACCACCAGGACACCCTGAACTCAAAGCACAAGAAGTAACAAAACAGATCAATCAGGCTCACTCAAAGCACGAAGTAACAAAACAGATCAATCAGGCTCTAGAAAAATTCAAAACAGAAATAATTTCCCAGATAACCATAGAGATAGTGAACAAAATAGAAGTTGTGATTCGAGACTCTACAGCAGAAACTGACAAAAAAATAGTTGAGCTCAGGACCATGATACAAGCCATGAAGGCCCAGCATAAGAAAGAAATGGAAAAAATAAACACCCAACATAGGAAAGAAATCGAATCCATAAAACAGATTCAAATGGATATCCAGGAGATTAAACACTCCATAGAAAGTGTGTGCAACAGAATAAAAGAATGCGAAGATAGACTCTCAGATATAGAAGATAAGATTGCAGTCAGTGACCATGAAAAGAGAGGTCTCTTAAAAACAGTAAGGGATCATGAGAAATCGATCCAACAACTCCTAGATTGATGCAAAGAAGAATAACATAAGACTGATAGGAATACATGAAGTAGCAGAAAATACAAATGACTTAAAAAAGCTGTTTGCAGAATTAATGACAGAAAACTTCCCAAACAGAGGGGAAGAATTTGACATTCTGATAACTGAGGCATATAGGATCCCAACTAGCTACAATAAAAAAAAACTACACCTAGACATATAATAATCAAGAGCCCAGAAACCCAACAGAAGAACAAAATACTACAAGCAGTAAGAGAAAAGAAACAAATCACATACAAAGGAAAGCCCATCAGAATCAAAGCAGACTTTTCAACACAAACCCTTGGGGCAAGGAGAGCCTGGAATGAGATATTTCAAGTACTAAAAGAGAACAACCTCCAACCTAGACTGATGTATCCAGCAAAACTCTCTTTCAAAATGGATGGGGAAATAAGACACTTCCATGACAAAGAACACCTGAGAAACTACATGAATACCAAACCAGCACTACAAGGAATTCTAAACAAGATCCTAGAAAAAGACAATGAAGGCAACAACACTATGAGGCCCAACAGAGCAAATCAAATAGGCAAGGCAAGAAATTAAAAGGAGAAGGTGAAAAAGTAAAAAGAGTCAACAAAAGGCCAATAACATGTCAATAATAAGTCAGTACATATCAGTTATAACCAGCAATGTCAATGGCCTCAACTCACCAATCAAGAGAAATAGACTGGCAAAATGGAATAAGAAGCAAAATACAACAATATGTTGTATACAAGAAACACACCTAGTGCATAAAGAAGTCCAGAGACTGAAAGTGCAAAGATAGAAAACAATTCTCCATGTGACAGGAGCCCAGAAAAAAACAGGGGCAGCAATCTTATTGGCAGACAAAGTAAATTTCAAACCAAAATTGATTCTAGTATTATTGATGTAGGACGGTAGTGTATCATACCTTTATGAATGTAAAGTATCTTATACCTGCTTTATGATACATAGTAGGGACTGCGCTTTATCAGAGCTACATTTAATGATATTACTCTAGAATATTCTCTTTCCAGATAATGATTAAGTTGCTAATAAAAAAAATGGTGCCAGGTACCACAACAGCAACAGAACTTTGCTGTTTTCTGGATATTATTCTTTTCTGTTTCTTTTTGTTTGGTTTGGTTTTGGTTTTTTTTAATGGAATGTGCTGAATATCTATAATTTTGCTCAGATGACTGCAGAACCTGGAAAAGCTGTTGTTGCTATCGATGCATTACACACTGCTATTATTAGTCTATATATA